TGAACTGCAGGGAATGGGAAGAGACTGGAGGCATGGACAAATAGAGAGTAGGCTGCCATAAATAGTGAAGTTATGCATTAATAATATGGACCTATGGTCATTTGCATTACATAAAATGAAAGAGAGAGAGAATAATTAGTTGAATAAGGAATTAAGGGATATCAGAAAGGAAAAGGTTCAGGAAGAAGGAAGGAGGAGATGGCTGAAGATGGAGACATTTTGAGGTGGAGTGGATGTAAGTTCTTGGAATTAATATAAATTTATCTTCAATTTATTCTAAAAGATGGAAGAGAGGTCATCTACCAAAGTGAAGAAGGTAAGAAGTTACTGGAATGCTTGAGAAATGTATAAAAAAGGGGCAGCTAGGTGGCACAGTGGATAGAGCACCGACGCTGGATTCAGGAGGAGCTGAGTTCAAATCTGGCTTCAGACACATAACACTTACTTGCTGTGTGACCCTGGGCAAGTCACTTAACCCCACTGCCTAGCCAAAAAAAAAAAAAGAAATGTATAAAAAAGTTTGAAACAACTCTGTTGAGGAATGAAGACTAGGGAATCTCTCAAATATACAAATACTCAAATGTTATTTCACTGAGGTAGACATCAGCACTGATGATTCAGGTTGAAGTCCATTTGTGCCTGGCCATTTTGTGCAGCTCTTCTGCAAGGTCCTCCTCAAGTCCTCCATAAGCAGGCCATACAATGTGCTCTTCCTCACTTTCTCCTTACATTTATACAAGGGGGGCAAATAGGGGCTATTTCAAGGTTATCCCTCACTCTCACCATGTGATCAGTCCATCTTCTTTGCTCATACATTCCTTTACTGGTTTCCTTTACATTACCCAGGTGTCCTTTCATAACTTCCTGTAATAAGTTGTGGCCTTTCTTCATTGCCCTCGGGATAATGCTCAGTTTTGATTTCATTACTTGTAGCCATACATAAGGAGTCAACAAGAGACAAATAATAGAATTGTTGAATAGCAATGAAAATCCAGTTGAAATTAGACAAACTCTAACTAATGTTTAGTTAGCAAACTAATGTCTGTTATGATAAAATATTGTCATGAGCCTAGTCAATGTGCTTCCGTGGTACCTAGGAGCAGGAGTAGAGGAAGCAGATCACAGAACCACAGAATGTTAGTTCTGAAAAAGGCCATAGGGATCATTTTCTCTCATGAAAGGGGTGGTTCAATTTGCCTATGGCCTCACTCACCATCCCTGTAGTGTCCCTCCCAACCCACCACACCTGTAGGTATCTCTCCCATTATAATGTAAGCTCCTTGAAGGCAGGGCTCTCTGTTTTTGTATTCCCAGAATTTATCATGATTCTCAGCCAATAGTAAGTGGTCAATAAGTGCTCATTCATTTATTCAACGCTTTCATTTTGTTGCATATACTCAAAGCTCACAGCTAGGCCACCTTCTCTAGGAAAGGGAAATTAGGAATAAAGTCAACTGGAACATATCAGATTAAGTAACACTAGGCTGTACCTGACTCCAGCTTTCATCATTACCCTTTACTTTTCAAAATCTAATGCTTTTTCTATGTGGGATCTTCACAGTATGAGCCACAGCCCCCAACGACACGGATACCTGAGAGTATCCCCACATACCACAATGGTAACAAAAGAGGAGTAGGCCCAAGACTGAACAGCAGGTGGATTCAGCTAAAACAAGTCTTTTATCTTCACCTTATACCTCTACATGACATACTCTTCCCCCTCAGAACAAGGGTATTTCTTACAACCATCAATCCCTTTCCAACTGCTCTTTTACCACCAAATCTTGGTTGGTTTGATTCAAAAGATTTTTGAGTGCCTTTCTGATGATGAAATTTGCTGAATAGGTAGAACTACCTATTCAGTCAACTGCCGCTGACTTCAGTTATTTCCTAGGCCCAGAACCCTGGCCCTGTGTGGAGGGCTCAGAGTTGGGGACAAAAATAGGAGGAAGGAAGACAAGGAGAAAGGGATCCTAGCTTACTAGTCAGGGCATCATTGAAAAGGCTCATCATTGAGTCCAAGATAGATAAGATGGAAGTAAAGTCAAGAAAAGCATGATGGTCTGGAAAAACAAGATGGGGTTGATGGACCAAAAGTCACAGTGAGCAGTAAAGTCACAGTAAGAATAAGTACAGGAAAAAAGAAGGAATGGGTAATGTGTTGGCATAGAGACTAGTTTAGTGAATTATGGCTATTCTTATCTTTCATTATTTGGGTGAGGTGTATTGACATTTACTGTCAATGAGGCAACAATGTCCAAATACAAATCCACCTAAGTATCAGTATCTAGCCTACCTGCCAACAAGGTGTAGATCTGGAATTCAACACATCCAGGGTGGCATAGGATGTCTTTGCGGTCTGGGTTTGAAATATTTTTTAACATCCCCAACATTAAAGATAGGTATGGCCAAATAATTCAGATTAAAAGGTTTGACAAGTGATTCATAGTATCTGTGTAATAGAGAGAGGCCTCATGGGAAGTTACCAGTCCTGTTGCCCTATATCTGGTAGTGACAATGTTCCATTTTTTTCAACTTCCACGTTATCCCTGATCAAGAAGAAGCCCCCACAAAAAAATCAGGGGACTACTGTTCTCCAGTGAAATCCCCTTGAAAACAAAGTCTTTCATTTAGTGAAGAAAATCCAGAAACCTAGGGATAGCACCCCAATAGTCCAAACACACTAGTCTTCTTACTCTTCCTTACACATTACACTCAACTACCCCTCTCTGTTCCTTTGCACTGGCTGGAAGAACTGGGATGTTCTCCCTCCTAACTTGTGCCTTTGAGAATCTCTGGTTTCCTGCAAAACTCAGCTTAGGTGCCTCCTTTTGTATGAATCCTGTCCTGGCTTTGCCAACTGATAGTGCCTCCTTCCATGGTTACCTTGAATCGGATTGGCACAAAACATATCTCGCATGTACTAAATATGCATGTGTGTCCCCCAGTAAGCTTCTAGAGGACAGGAATTGTTCCACTTTTGTCTTTTTATCACCAATCCTGGCACAGAGTAAGCACATAATACATGCTGCATTGGTTGACTGTGCCAGACATAAATGCCACCTGGCGGTACAGGACAGATGGATTTCTTCAAGGAAGCAGGTAGACTAAATGTAGATTTCACTGCCTCTCAGAGCAGGAGGGGCAGGAAGCTCAGAGTGGTTTTGGCACTAATTCTTCAGAACCCTCAAAGACTATAAAATATTTTTGTGAAGCAGATGGAAACTTGATCCATAAATATAACTTTCATCTGAACAATTCTCAAGTTACTGTGAGAAAATTGTGTGATCCAGCCATATGATGAAGATGAAAGAAAAATTTTAAAGAGAGGAAAGCTGGAATAAAAGCTCCAAGTGTATTTCCTGATGCATGAGGGAAGTGAGGGGTGGGGTATAATGTGCTAAGAAGATGATTATTGGAACAAATTGCTACTTTTGGAACAAAAGGTATCTCTGAAGTAGGTGGATAAAACAAGATCAGAACCAATGCCAAGGCAAAGGATAAAAAGTATGAACTAAAACAACATGATCAGATGTGGAAAAGAATGGAAAAAAAGAATGACATTTTGATAATAATAAGTTAACATTTATATAGAGCCTACTAGTAGGCACTTTACACTTATTATCTCATTTGATTCTCACAATCACCTTAGGAAGTAGATACCATTATTATTCTCATTTTATAGATAAGCTGAAACAAATTCTGTTTTTTCTGCTTTCGTAAATAAAAGTTGTTAAACACGATTTAACCATTTCTTGATGTCTCCAGGTCATCACGAGCTGGTACCAACTCATTTCTTGTTCTGTATAAGATAGCTATCCTCTAAGATGTCACTGCGGTGTGTTTACCCTGTGGTCCCAGATTGCTAAACTCTAAGAGTTCTTGTATCTACTTTTTGTGGCCTTTCAGTCTAATTTTAGATTCTTAAGCTATCTGCTCTCACTTCTGACACCCCGCTGCCAGTACACTGAAATCTCAATTTCAAATTTGTTGTTATGTTGGTGATGATGTTAATATTTACAAATTGATTTAAAAACATGATTTTCTTTTATCCTCACAAACAACCTAGGTGGTAGATGTATTATTATTATGTACATTTTTACTGATGAGGAAACTGAGGCAGGCAGAGTTTAAGTGGCTTGACCAGAATCACACAGCTAAATAAATGTCTGAGGTCACATTTGAACTCAGATCTTCCTGACTCTGGGCCCAATTAAGAAATCAGATAGCTTATCTTGTTAGGGTTGTATGTAAAAAGATCAAAAAAGGCTCTCAGTGAATGCCAAAGGAGCTCTCCTATTGAGTAAAATAAGTAGGTACTAGTGCGTAGGCTTTGTAAGCTATTTCAGTCATACAGAATTTAATTTATATACAGACACGCACACATGCACACATTTAGCTTTCTGTTATGTTGCAAGTGGTCCAGTTTGCCATGAGTCTGACCTTTGGATGAGCAAGGAATCAATTTTGAATCCTATATTGAAAATTAATTTTATTTCTGCTTAAGAGAAAATAATTGGGAATCTTTATTTAAGAGAGCTTCTCACGTGTCTGTGAGGAGGGCCCTGCCTTTGGCAGGAAGATGAACTAGAAGACTTTCCAAGGCAATTTTCAACACTTTGGCTCTAAATGCACATAATGTTCCTTAAATCATCTTTAATTTACATTAATAAATATAAGACACAAAATCTTATGATATAGAAATGTTTCTAATTTCTAGTTTGGATGGCTTTCCTCAAAAGTATTCCCTTATAATTCTTACATAATAAATTCCTATGTGTGGTGATTACTTATATAGAAAGTAGAATGATTCTTTTCTCTGAATTTTCTATGACAATGAAGTATAGAAATAAAGCATGTGATTAGAAGAACGGAGAATGTCAGTATTTTGCTATAATAGCAAATTAATATTTTTTCCCATTAAGTCTGTGTAGTACATACTTGGTAATATAGTAAAAATAATTTAGTCAAAAATCATCGGCTACTTTTTAGTTTTTTATTTTTTCTTTTATTGTTAATATCAACAGTTTTTGCATGATTTTCTGTTTTCATAAAATAGTGAAACATTAAATGAATAATCAAACATTTGTTTGGAATAAACCACACAAATAAAACAATTCAAAATGCTCTTACCAAACAATAAAGATAATAACAGTACTTCAGTCCTTCAGATAAGTGAATATCAAACAACAACAATAATAATAACAGACTAGATTACTGCTCTATAGATTTATTAAGCACCTGCTATGTGCCAGCTACTACAGTAGGTGCTAGGAAACAGTCCTGGCCTTCAAGGGACTTACATTCTGTCAAGGAAGACAACATGTATATATACAAGGACATGGAAAATAAATACAATTTGAGGGAGGGGAGGCAGGAGCTTCTGAGGGGCTCAGGAAGAGCTTCCTCTAGAAGGTAGCACTTGAGTGGAGCTTTGAAGGGAACTTAGAGTTTCCAAGTAGTGGAATTAAGGAAGAAGTTCATTCCAGGCATGTGCAAAGATGTAGACAGCGGAAATAGAGTGCTGTGTGTGAAGAACAGCAAAGAATCCAGTGTGACTGGATCACAGACTGAAAACATAGGTTAGGGCCTGGTTGAGAAAAATTTTAAATGACAAACATTTAATGGACACATATACCCTCTATCTATAAATACAACAACATGAAAGGAAATATCAGGCTTTTATATAATGCTTTAAAAAGCAAAACTATGATGCAATATGAATCAACTTCACTAATTGGATAGATCCAATGATGGCCAAATTAAATAGATGGCAAGCACACAAAGATGTGTGAATAGAAATTCCAACCTAGTTTAGGTTCTTTGGTCCTTCAGTCTTTTTCCAGTTCCATTTCAATTACTTTGACATCTTCTTGAGTCTGGAACTATTGAAAAAGAGAGAGAGAGACACATATGCGCGCGCACACACACACACACACACACACACACACACACACACACACACACACGTACTTAGTGAAGCAAACAGATGAATGATTGCCAACAATCACAGTGATGCCTGCCCATCCACAAAGCTTTATTTTATGAAACAACAAATCCTCTCTCCCCTGATTCTCTTGTTACCAGATACTCCAACAATGAACAGATCAATATCACATCCATGAAAAAAATGTTCTTAAATAGCCTTATTTGTGATCATAAATAGACCATAGCAGGGAGAATTCTGGGATCATAATTGCCTCCCTAATTAGGAGAGGGAGGGGAGTTTCTAAGGTGTTATATTAGAACTAAGCTAAAACAACAATGACATTTAGGTGCATGTAAAAGTAATGCTTTGCTCCCACGGGCATGGGGATGTGGGAATGGAACAGAAAGACCTCAGGAGCTAAAAACAGCCACATTTTCTCATTTACAAGGTTAAGGTTCCAAGTACCAGACTGAGGAGGAACCCCCAAAGACCAGAATGTCACCAGAAAATAGTCCCCACCCATTCACATGCATGGTGAGATAGGAGCATAAATTGTACATCTCAATACCTTAAAATCTTGAGGGTATGTTTCACCCACGCTTCGTTTGGATCGGCACACACAGTGTATCGTCTGGTATAAAAGCTAGAAACAAACAAACAAAAAAAACTTTGTTTATTTTATGTTTTGAGCACTTTCTAATTTTCTTGTATTTTCAAGAGAAACTGCTTATTTCATGTATTTAAAACATTCATTCGTTTTCAAATCAAAATGAAAGTAATAATTAACTAGACTTGTTGGCAATGAAAGGAGAACCACACCTATATTTGCATAATAGGAAATACACTGGATCCCAAGTTCCAGAAGAACATTCTCCCCCTCCCCCTATTCCAGTACTGATTATTCTGGGAAACGTGGTATGCCACATTATTTGTTAGCCATCTTAGTGTAGCGGGAAGGACCCTAGACTTGGAGTCAGAAGAGCTGGGTGCAGTTATTGGACAAATCACTTCACCCCATTGTCTTCAAGCAAAGGGTTAACAACCACTTGTCAAGTGCATTGTAGACAGATCTTTGTTCAGCTATAAATTGGACTAGAAGGTCTCTAAGGTGTCTTCCACCTATGAAATTCTCTGATACCCTTCCAGCCTCAGTTTCTTCATCTCTAAGTTGAAGATATTAATACTTTCAATACATACGTCACAAAGGCGTTTGAGATATATGTAAATATAAATATGTGGATATATTACTAAATATATAATATATAAATATACTCTACATTATGTGATATAGAATGCATTATATGTCATTGCAGCCTTAAGCTATTAAAGATCTACGAACATTTTATATAAATGTTGGTTTTTTTTTTTTTGGCTAGGCAATGGGGTTAAGTGACTTGCCCAGGTAGTAGGTGTTATGTGTCTGAGGCCAGATTTGAACTCAGGTCCTCCTGAATCCAGGGCCAGTGCTCTATCCACTGCGCCACCTAGCTGCCCCCCATATATAAGTGTATTTTTAATATATGGTCTCTTCCTATTGGGATGCATGGTGAAATGGCATTAGCATTGCAATTTAGAACTCAGAGGCTAAGCATCATAATACAACCGTGCTTTGATATTCACCTATTTCCTCACATACTGTATTCATCTAAGGGGAAGCCCTAAATAATAATGTTACCTCTAGCTTTCCTGGACATTCTAATACCTGCACGATACAACGTTAAGAATAATTGGTGAAGGGTCCCTACTCAGAGGAAGGCCACAAACTATTCATAACAGTTGGGATTTGTCTGAAGCTCAGAGAGGTTAAATGTCAGAAGAGGAATTAGAATACAGGTCTCCCTAACTGTATAAGTTCAGCACTCTATCTAGGATGCTACATCTCCTCTCTGGCCCATGTGACTTACCTAAAGAAAAAAAAAGGAAAAGAAAAAAAGGAGGGGGTGTCATTTGCTGTACATCATAAGGATAGTCTATACATACATGGGGAGATTTTACTGGCTGTCCCCCACACCCTCCCTCTGCCTCCTGGCTTCCCTGGCTTCCTTTATGTCCCAACCAAAATCACACAAGGAGGCCTTTCTCAATCCCACTTAATTCTAGCGCCTTCCTTCTGTTCATTGCATCTTATTTATTCTGTGTGTCACTTGCCTGTACACATTTGTTTGCTTAGTAGATTTTGACCTACTTGAAGGCCTTTCTTTCTTGCCCAGCACTTAACACGATGCCTTGCATGTCTCAGAGACTTACATGCTTATTGACCCACTGACAATGTATTGGTTTATAGAGTTGCTTACCCGAAGCTCATCACAAAGCAGAAGCTCTAAAATGTAAAGTTGAAGCTGACTTTCACAGTGTTTCTGTTTTAGCCACTGAGATTTCCATATGTCACCCAGATTGCTGCCCCCACTCAGTACTTACATAATTGCGTCAATGTCACAGGTTTCATAAGACCACTGTTCTGCATAGCCTTTGATCAATTTACTGTGGAGAGGATGTTCCGTATACCCAAGGCAGCAATCAAAGCTGCTAGCTGCTGAAAGGGCAAGAAAAGGAAATCAATCATTAGGAATGAAGTCATCTTATGATAGACATTCTAGAACAGAGAAAGCTCTGGGTACCTAGTGAGCTAGACTCGAGTACTCAATGCATCTACTACTTATTAGCTGAATTAACTCTTTCAGGACATGAGAGTTAATGTTGCTTTCCATCCTTGCTCCTAAGGGATAGTTTCCACATTGGGAGAACTTTTGATCATTTATTCCCGTATGAACTCCAGTGGTTTCTCCCAGGAAAAGTCTCTGCCCCTTCAAAGGATGATAATGTACCAAGGAAGGAATACAATATGTACGTTTACAAAGTACAATTCAACATAACTTATGACAAGGACAAAGGAAAAATCTCATCAAAAGGGTCTGAGAAGTTTTGATGGAAAGATTTTAGCTGGGAAGCTCAAGGAAGACTTCCTGGAAGAGGTGGCATCTGAACTGAATCTTGAGCAAAGAAAAAGACAGATAAATCTGATGCCATCTGCCTATCTCAAAGTTTTACCTTGTTAATTTCCTAGCCTGTTGTCCAAGCTTCCCTTCCCACTTTTGAACTATATTGAAGGGAAGGGATGAAGCATGGCATCAGACCCTTCCTTCCATCATTCCATTCAGGGACTTAGCTGTCATGTTCTTTCAGGATGAATTCCTTGAGAAAAAAAAAAAGGAGTTCCAGCACCTTTGCAAAATAAATGAGTGATACTCACCTTGAGACGTGTCAAAGAGGCAGAACAGCAGTACGGCCATCAAAGGTGCCAAGATCAGGATCTTGCTGCCAACTCGAGTCATTTTCTACTCTGCACTAATCCGTTGGGGCCTGTGGCTTGTGTAAGTGCACTGGAAGACCAGCTAGCCTAACCTGACAGCTGTGAGGAAAGAAGCCTAGCTTATATAGAGCTAGTGAGCTAGCTGGGAATGTCCGCAGAAGGCGTGTTCTTCCATGGGACTTTCCCCTCACAGATGAACCTGCTCTCCAGTGCCGTCACAAAAAGAAAAAAGCATGCAGGGAAATCTTCCTTCTTTTCCCAAGGAAATAAAATTATATAGTGGTTAAAAAAAAAAAAGAAGCAGCTTTTAAAATCTTTTAGCTGAGGTAAGACATTTATGAGACGATTTGGCAGAGGTTAAGGAGCTGCGTACCTCGTGCCAGAGAAAAGCACTAGCTAAGTGCTAAGCTATAACTCAAGTGAATCTATTTTGTGATAAAAGTAAGGTCAACCCCACTCAGTGACATTCCAACATTCCAAGGCCAACCTAGTATTGTTTTACCTTATTTGCTTTCTATAAGCTTTCAAGGAGGGGGAGGATAAGGTGGGATGTCCAATAAGCTCTTGCATAATGTTCTGTATCTCATGCCAACTATTGAATTTCTGCCAAAGGACCCTGAAGTCTTGCTCTAAGGCTTAGGAAAATATTGAAATACTACTGGAATGATTCCTAATATTCCTGTGAGTGGGTAAGGGAAACCATGGGAGTTGAATTGCCCCTAAAGTAGTAGAACTTTGGGGTCACAGCAGGGCTGATACTCCAGAAGCCCAAGGATTAAATTCCTCTCTGGTTTGATTTCATTTCAAATGTACAAAATACCCTGAAAAATCTTCTAGTTCTCCAGCCTGGAGAATTGTTCCTGTTTCAATCCTTTCCTAGGCTTCTATGGCTATGATTTGGAGAAAACAGTCTCTCTGAGTTTAATTAAAGAATTTTGAACAATATTCTGGTTCTGGGAGAGGAGGGATTTTCATTTCATCTTGGTATTTTCCCATCACTTAGCTTGGTGTCTAGTGTATAACAGAGTTAATAAATGCTTGTTGATTGAACGGTGTCTGGTACATTGTACTTAATACTGTAAAGCTTAACACATAGAGCTTAATAAATGCTATATAATAGATAATGCTATATGATAAATAAATAGATAGATAAATAAATGAATGAATGAATAAATAAATAAATAAATAAATAAATAAATGAATGAATGAATGAATGAATGAACAAAATTTCGATGAATAGTGACAAGTGAAGATTTGCCCACGACAGAATAAGAGAAGAGCTGTTCATCCTATAGCAGTGTTCGCCTGTTGGACAAGTATGCTATTCTTCTGAGTGGGTCTCATCTTTATCCCATGTTTCTCTGTGTTCATGTGTCTGCCTGTTCTTCTATGTTTTTCTCTCTCCATGGTATCATAGGATCACAGATTTAGAGTTGGAAAGAACATCAGGGACCATCTAGTCTAACTCCCTTATTTTACATATAAGGAAACTGAGGCCCAAGGAGGAAAAGTCAGTCAGTCAACTAGCATCTATTAAGCACCTACTATGTGCCAACCTCTGAGTTTAATGTTGGGGATACAAAGAAAGGTAAAGACAGTCCTTGCTCTCGAGGGGCTCACAGTCTAAGGAGGTTAACAGGCAAACAACTACATAAAAACAAGAGGGTAAATTGGGGATAGTCTCAAAAAGAAGAACTGAAGATTAAGGAAGATTGGGAAAAGCTTCTTGTAGAAGGTAGGAATTTAACCAAGATTTGAAGGGTACAGGGCAGGGAGGGAAGTAACTTGCTCAGGGTCATACAGATAGTGCCAAAGAGGTGGGATTTTTAGCCCAGGTCCTCTGACTCCAGAGATATTTCTCTTTCCACTTTAACATTCTCTGTTTTCCTCCACTATTATCTTCATGTCTTTCCCTCTGTGGAGGGAAGGTGATAGACAGGGGACAGTGGTGGTGGCTGGGTATATGTATTTCTTTCTCTCCCATACTGTTATTTTATAGCTGGGAAAACAGAGGCAGAATAGCAGAAAAGAACTAGATTTGGAGAGAGCCAAGTTCAAATCTTGGTCCTGCTACACCTCACCTGTGTGACCTTGGCCAGTCACTCTCTGAGTCTTAGCTTCCCCTTCTGTAAATGAGGATGCTGCCCTAAGTGGTTTCTAACATCTTTCCTAGCTATAAATCCCATGATCCCAGGTAAAAAAAAAAAAAAGGTGCTTAGCCAAGACCACCCAACAACTTGAATACAAAATCAGGAAAAGAACTCAGGTCTCTTTACTCCCAACTTGGCTTTTTTTCACCATTAAATCACCTACTAGAACTCTCCATCATAAATTCCTAAGTATGAAAAGCTTTAGAGTTAGGATGAAACTGAAAGGTCCCTTACACCAGCTGCTTCATTTTACAGATAACAAAACGGAGTCTAAGAGGAACTAAGTTAGTAATGAGCTAGGATTCATTTCTCAGTCTGCTGAATCCAAATTCAGGGCTCATTTCATGGCACTGAAGTGACTCTATGAATGAAAGTAAAGATGGAGTGCTCTTCTGAGCACATGTTCCATTTTCAGTATTCAAACACACGATTCAATTTGGTTACATTTCATCATCATAACTTGGCTTTCAACATGGGTGGTGAAGTTTGGTTTTCTTTTGTAACCCTTGCACTAGTGGATGCAATTGTATCTTCCACGTCACCAGCAGCCAGGTTTCTGTTCAGATTTAAAAAAAAAAAAGGAAAAGAAGTGTTGAAAATTTAATGGGACTATTTTCCTAAAAATTTAAAATAGTTTGCAAAATCCCAGACTTACCAAAATGTACATTTTTGTAAAGTGATTGCTTAATTTTCCTCCAGAAAATGTCCAAAGTTATGCCAAGTCTACAAGGAATGGAAACCACAAAAAGCCAGTTGAAAAATTGGCCTGGCATTGGGACCAAAGCACTTACCTCAACCTTGAACTTCTACTGCCTATGAAATCGATCAGCAAGCATATGTTAAGTGGCTGCTGTGTGCCAGACCCCATGCTAGGCACAGGGTACAAAGACAAAAATTATAACTGTCCCTGCCCTCAACGAACTTACATGGGAGTGGGGGAGGGGGCTTCAGGGAGACATATATAAACAAGAATATACAAAATGAATAAAGGTTTTTCTTTGTCTGTTTGTTTTGTGGAGGAGGTACCAGCAGCTGAGGGGGCTAGGAAGAGAAAGAAGCCATTTGTGCTGAGCTTTGTAACAAACTTCCTACTTGAAAAATCTTCTGTATCATCCGGGTCCATTCTTTCATTATGTCCTTTCCCCTTTCCCTTCTCATGATCTTACCTAATTTGGTTATTTTTTCCAATTAAGAAACTCTTCTGGGGGGCATATGAAAGACCGATTTTTAACATAGTCTTTTCCTACCCCTTTCTTTAAGAATCTCTGCTCAGCCTCCTTGTAGATATCATTCTCATTACAAAAGATGCTGTCTCTTTCTTAGATGAATTGACATACCTTTCCAAATGGTAGAGGCTTCTTGCTATCACAAAAGCACCCCTCCTCTAGAGTAAGAGGGTTTAGTGGGGATTTCTCACAACTTACGCAGAGAACGTCCTTCTTTTCCTACTTTCGTGAGCAGCACTTCATTTAACTTTCAAACTAAGGGACCTCATCTCTTTAATGTGCCTATCTTCAAATGGCCACAATGCTTTCCTATGCAGACTTTTCCAATTAGAATTTTAATTTAGCGTAACTCTCTTTAGTCAATCAACCTCATTCTCACTAGAAGGTCTCCTGAAAAGCCAATAAGTTCTCAGTCATGGGAGGCGTTCTGTGTCACTGATCATTGTTCTTATTTTCCTTTCATTGAGTTCTAGGTTGGGGATTTTTACAAACTTCTGATTTCACTGGTGCCACCCTCCTCTGAGGACAGAAACTTCAAGGATTCCAAATCATTTATTAAGCACTTACAATGTAACGGGGCTTTTGCGGTGTGACTGATTCCATTAAAATAATAAGCAGCATTTGTTAGGCTGGATCTGAAATTACAGTTACACAGAATCTGAATTGGAAGAGACCTCTGAGGCCATCCGGTCTAACCAATACCAGAACAAGTCTCCCCTCTCCACTGACAATAACAGGTCAGGAATCCAACCTTTGCTTAAAGACCTTCAGTGAAGAGGGACTTGCTGTTTTCCGAGGCAGCACATTCCACTTTTGGATAGATCTAATTGTTGGAAAGTTTTTCCTGATACCAAGTTTCAATTTTTCCCCTTGCAACTTCTGCCTTTTCTACATTGTCAGTTATGATTATCCTATCCATTCCAAATATCCCTTCATAGAATCCAAATTTAGAGTGAAGGGACCTTAAAGATCATCTTTTTGTATTCCCTAATTTTACTGAGGAGGAAAAGGAGGCACCAGAGAGGTTAACTCACATGCTTTAGCTCACAGAGTACACCCCAGATCTAGGATCTACACTTACCACCCACATGGGTACGTACTGTATCAAATCAATGAAAGATGAAGAATGGCTCAGACCAACTCCAATACTAAATGACTCAAAGAAATCCACCCAAGTCCAATGCTGGATGGGGGAAGAGGGAAATAACTATGCCACATCTCCCATCTCCTTCTCAAACACTCTTTCCTCCTACTCCTCCAACCAAATGATCTCTTCACAACAAATAATATATTCTCCACTCAAACTTTCTATTCCCCTACTACAAATTAGACTTCGGTTCTACCAAACCACATATGCCAGCAGCTTTTCTACTTTCTGGCACCTCTAAATATCTCTGTAGAAATGTCAATACAACCTACTGTTCCCCTTGTTGGCTTCTCTGGCAGAAACCAGACAGCTGGGACAAACTCATCCTCACTAGAAATGGCAGCAACTGCATTCTTCTCCACCTCCCATCCTTGAAGCACTTCAAGCTTCCAAAAAATTAATGTCATGCAAGGTTGCTCTTATTTGGGAGCCAGACAAATAGGTACAAAGTGTGCCGTGAAGTTTGACTTTCTCAGAGGTAACTTCAGAGTTCCATCAAGGACAACATTTTGTTTTGATCTGCTCTTATCATGAAGGGAATTCACATCTCTCTGAGACTTACTACTTGTGTGA